ATCAAAAACGTGTTTAAAAACACTACTGTACAAAATAAAAATACAACACACACATGTCCATCTATGTGCACGCGGGTATGGAAGCTTAATTAGTGATTTTTATCTTTCTGTCCTCTCCTCATTATATTTGTTCATTTTTCGTTATTATACTTATTAATCATATTTAAAAAAATCAAACCATGATATTGGTATGGACAAAGATTTTTTGGACAAAGCCCTGAAAACCTCGGAAACAAAAGCAGAAATGGAATTCAATCAAACTAATGGTTTTCTGAAAGCAGAGGAAACAATAAACAAAGTTTTAAAAACTACCTGCAGACTGAGAGAAAATAATGGCATAGTATATATCTGACAGGGAATAACAAGAAGAATATACATGGAACTCAAACAATTCAGCAGCAAGAAAACAAATACATAGGTTAAAGAAGACACAAAAGACCTTAGTGGACCAAATGGCCAAAATAGAAATGCTCAGCAGCCCTGAGCATCAGGGAAATGCAAATCAAAATCACAGTGAGGCAGCATCTCGGTGATTTAGAATACCTATGACCACACGACAAGAAACATTACCATGCTAGAAAGGATTCCAATAAAAAAGAACTGTCTTACACTGATGGGATGTGATTTGTACAGCCACTGTGGAATGCGGTATGGAATTTTCTCAAAATACTAAAATTAGAGCTATCATGTTATCCAGCAGTTCCCTGACTACATGTTTCTCCAACAGAAATGAAATCAATATGCTGAAGAGATATGTGCATCCCCGCATTTATAGTAGCTCTATCCAAAACAGGCCAGAAATAGAAGCAATCTAACTAACTGCCTAACTGCCCATCAGCGGATGAACAGATGTAGAAAGTGTGATACATTTATACCATAGAATACTACTCAGCCCTGAAAAGAATAAAATCTGACATTTGCAGAAACATGAAAACAGAAGATATTATGTTAAGTGAAATAATCCAGACAAACGTGACAGTTTTACTCAAATGTGAAAGCTGCGTCAGGTGCTCTCATGATGTGGGGAGTAATGTTTACTAGAAGCTAGCAAGTGACCAGGGAAGACAGTGATGTTGGTTATCAGATACAAAAGTGCAGCTAGATAGAATAAATTCTAGTGCTTCATACAGCAAGTCAGTTAACTACAGCTAACAATAATTCATTGCACATTCCAAATTAGCCAAAAGAAAGGATTTCTTCCCAAGAAAATGATTTCTTTTTTTAATGTTCTCAACACAGATTTAAAAAAAAAAGGTTGAGGTGATGGATTTGCAGTTACCTGACTTGGTCCCTGCACATGATACACATACCCGCGTATCTAAATCCCGCGCCACGCCCGGAAACGTCTGCCATTGTCATGGATCAATTAAACATGTGTAGTCACACAAATCACAACAAAGGTGTCCTCTGGTGAGAAGCAGGAGCTACCCGTTTTGTTTCCACATAACAGCTCTCCTCCTTTGGGGGATGACGGCCCTGTAGGCTCTGCTTTAGTTTTTCCTTTGTCAGGAGAGAATTACTCTCCGCTAATTCATCCCTTGGGAGCACGGATGGTGGGTGATGAGGCCACAAAGACCGGCTCCCTGCGCGGTCACCGCGCGCTGCACTCCGGGCTGCCCCTTCCCGCCGCAAGGCTCTGAGCTGCGCAGCTACCCGGAGCCCCGCTCCACATCTGCCACCCCACCCGCCTGTCCCTCGCGGCAGAGGCCAGCTGTGTCCGTGGAGCCTGCTGTGCGGGAGCTGGGGTTCCCCGCTGGGCCAACTGAGGCATGGCCCACGCGTGATGTCCTGGCGTGGTTTCCATCACGCAACGCTGCTCCTTCCACCCCCCGGCGCTGGCCTAAGTGGCTTCTGCTAGGTCCTTCTGTTGTCGCTGCACTTTTATCTCTGTCCCGTTACAAGGAAACTCTCTTGCTTCCTTCCACCTTATGAGCTGCGATTAGATTCGGATTATTACACACAGTAATAAAAGAACCATGATCAGTTACTGAAAACAGCAGACACTTTCTGGTCCCGATGCTAGGAATTAACGTCTCTGAGAGAGTCGCGGGCGACAGAATCAAGTTACCAATGGATATTCAGAGTGTAACGTCCAGAGGACAGCATGAAAGTAGGCCTATGCAAACGTGCAAATGCTAAGAACCACCGTTACAGGGGAGTTTCAAATCATCCACTTCTGAATCCTCATAAAACTTAGCAACCAAAAGCACTGACATCATTTGCTGTTTCTGCAAATCGTTTTCAAAAAAACATAGCAAAATATATCCTTAAATGATACCTAACACGGGAAAAGGCATGGGCTTGTTTCTTCCGCGACTAACCCAAGTCTCTACATAGTAGGGAAGCAATATAATCTGAAAGAGTTAACTGTTTTGCAAATATTTACTGACTACACAAACAATTAAAGCCCATTACGGAGTACAGAGCATTTCAGGCCTGGCGGTTACTTCAGCAACCATCAGGTGTGTGAAAACCTCGTAGGGAGAGACAGAGGGAGCAGACGCATGTAAATAGCTCGTGTATCACACAGTGAAGAGAAGCGATCCGGGGAGGAATATGCAGGGAGCGTGTGTTTGCGTGGAAAGATTGTCGTGTGCAGTAGGGTGGCTCGCTGGTGAGGTCGGAGGAGGTAAGGGGTCCGCGGCAATGGGAAAATCTACAAAGCCTGCTCCGCAGTGAGAAGGCAGCAGAGGTCCTGCGGCCGGTGTCGTCTCCTCAGGAGGAGACTCAGGCGCCTGTGTAGCGGCAGATTGGGAGACAGAGCCTCGCGGGTAGATGGGGCCAGAGGCCTGGCCAATGTGATGCTGGGCGCGCTGGGGAGAGGGCTCAGACCCCGAGGGGCCTAAGGTTGTTTCTGGGATCCCAGCGTTGGCTGCGGTGGGTGAGAACCCAAGGGGGACTGAAGGCTCCATGGGACTTGACTCGTCCACGCTGGCTGAGAGGGACAGAAGCAGATACAGCGGCAGAGACAGGGGAGGGGTGGCCGTCACCCACCTCTAACCCGCAGGATGGCTCTGCACAGATGCTATTCTGACACTGCAAGGGCCAGTGGGAGGATTTGTTTCCTTTTATTTTTTCCTAGCCCGATTGATATTTTCCTAGCCCTTACATTGTTATTTTTCAGATTAACACACAGTGGGACCTCGGTTCATGAACTTAATTCTTTCCACATTCTGGTCAAGAACCAAATCAAATTCAGTGGTTAGGCTCAATGTTGGCCTTACGGTGGAATTTGATTTGGTTCTCGTCCAATTCGGTTTGCAAACACAGTTATGTAAAGGATCCTGTCTCAAAAAAAAAAAAGTTTGTGAACCAAGGTACCATTGTGTTTTTAACATTTTGAATAATGTGCCTCAGAGCTGAAATTTTTAAAAATAGGAAAAGGTGCGCAGCAAAAAGTCTCACTACTTATCCTTGTGCCCAGGGAAACAAGTTCGCATGACTTTCACGACAGCCTGTTCTTAGACACTTTTGTTTCTCGTAGAATCTTCAGTGTCTTTAAGAAATCCTCAGCAGACAAATTCCAACACCCTCCCACCCTCTTTTACACCAAAGGCAGGACACACAGGCATCTCTCCACCCCGCTTCCCTCGCCGCCCCCACATGCTGAGTACACGGACATCTCCCTGGTACTTGCTGATGCCCTAATAATATTTGTGAGTGTGCAATAGTTTATTTGACTCCTTACCTATGAATGGTTGTTCAGGTTGTTTTCTAACCAACATTACAATGGGTGTCTCTGAGCAAGTACAATAGAAGATTTAAACATCTGAATAAAAACGTACTGTGGAAGAAACTTGAAAGATATACATGGAGGGCCAAGCTCTGAAGGGCCAGCAGAGCTGGGGCTATAGCTCCCCACGATGCCCTTCAGCTCGGGGTAGTGTCCCTGCCTACCACACCCTGGCTCCCCACTTCCTAGCCAGGGTCTCCGGAGAGCTCTTCCCAAGGAGCCTTCTGAAGGTAGTTTTGTGTCTCATGCTTGTTTCCAGAGAATCCAATTTGAGGCAAGCATTTAAATGAATTAAATCTAGAGTTAGTAAAACTAAGATTAGCCCATCACAGTGTTGATAATATTTGTTACCATTTAAAATAGTGTATTTTAATTTAATTAGTGTATTTAATTAAATAGTGTATTTAATTTGAATGTGCACGTTGTGTGTGCTGGGGTTCTCGGAATCAAACTTAAGGGCTCTGTCACTGAGCTAAATCCCCAGCCCATTCTTTTATTTGGATCCAGCTGAGTTGCTCAGGCAGGACTTAAACTTGCGACCTTCCTGCATTAGTTTCTCGAAATCCTGGAGTTGGAAGTGCACACCACCATACCTGGCTTTTTACATCATTTGGGGGGATCTGAAAGCACTCTTACTTTTCCTTGATTTTTTTGGTCCTTGTTTACTGAGGTATAACTTATGATCAATGATGTCCATCACTTTTAGTGAACAATTCTAGGTATACCCTGATGAACACAGCCGTGTCAAAACCACCACAATCACACAGTCATGATCCAGAGCACTCTCCTCACCCACAAACTTCCTGCATGCTCCTTTAGCAAGTTACCTCCATCTACTGCCCATTAGAAATTTCTCACTTGGCTTATAATTACTGGGCTTATAAAGAATTTTCAATATTTTGGTATCAGTGCTTTATTACACATTTTTGTAAATATTTTCTGCCAGTTGAAAGCTTATCCTTTATTTTCCTAAGTATTCTTTGGAAGAGCGTTCATATCATTTTTAAAAGCTTAATCCTCATATCCAAAAGAATTGACATGAGTGTGTCAAAGAAATAGCGGTGCTGCCATTTCCGTGGCAGCCCTGTCCACGGTCATCCAGGGAGGGAGTCACCTGGTGATCTGACCCTAGGTGAGTGACTAAGTGGGTTACACACACAGCAGAACACTACGGTGTCACAAAAGAGGGGGACATTCCGTCATTTGTGACATCATGGACGAGCTCCTGAAAGGTAGTAACATAAAATAGGTGTAAATGCGGACATTTTTAGTTCGTGACACCACTCTTCATGGGAGAAGAGCGCAGAAGAGAGGCTGGGCCATTTCTACACACTGAAAACCCCCTGTGGGGAGCTCATGAAGGACCAATGGTTCCTCAGATCTGCAAATGTGAATGTAAGTGATCGGCTGAAACTCCTGTGTCCAAGTTTTCAGGCATTTTCATTGCTTCTTAATTTTCAGATAATATTGTTTTCTTTCCCTTAGCTCTTTAAAGCAATAAAAAGCGAGGCTTGATCTGGCATTTGATGGAGAAACAGAGGGCAGCTCAGAATATCCTTTCCCCATTATGTTCAGAATGTGAGGAAATGAACACAAAGGAAAGTATGGTAACAAAATCAATAGCATCAATCAACAAAGCAGAGGCTCATGACCAAAGCTCAAGGTTTAATGGCCAGCAGGCCAGGGCAAAGGGGGTGACTTTGCGGTGGGCTCCCCAAATCTGCAGGTGCAGAGTCTGAGTGGGAATTACTACCTGTTTCCTTTTCAGCATAGAAAGTGTTGGAGACTGATGCTGGGGAGAACAGATTGAATTATGGACAATGGGGCTGACACATTCAGAAAAGGATCCCAAGAAAAACCATCCGAAGTCCTTTGGGTTCTGTAAGTGGAATGGGATGTACATCCATGGTTGAGAATGATAACCCTGATAAAGGGCTTATTAAAATGCACCTCTTTATTATGAAAATGCTCACGCATATTCTAAAAAGGAAAGAAATGGCCAATGCACCAAGCACTCATTACCCGAACTTCATGCTCCTTTGCCAAGCCCTTCTGTTATGCTGCTCCCGGCTCTGCCTCGCCTCTCTATTTGGAGCTTGGGAAGGTGTTTCCCAAATCACTCACTTTCTGTAGCCCAGGGCAGGCCTATTACAGAGCAAGTATTCAACGGTGTTTGCTAAATGAGTCAATGAATCAATGAATGAATCAATCTCCATTTAGCCAGTTATTCCACTTTCCAGAAAATGAATCTGCCTTTAGTAAAAGATGGATACTGTACATGATGAATATGATCCTAGGAAAATTATGCAAGGAACAACAACACATAGAAACACCTTCAGGACATGCTTTCCAAAGATAATTCAGACTAACATCGTGGATTCTTCTTAAATGAGTAAGAGAAGCCTGCTGGTGGAGGCTTCCCAGGAGTACCGGGGCTGAGAACAGCCGGCAGCCCGCTGGGGACTGGACACAGGTCCACATCACAGCTGATGCTGAGATATCAGCCTGAAGACAAAGCACTTTGTACAAATGTGAGGTCCATGCTGATGCAAGTTTGCCTGCTCTGGTGGTGAATTTCATGTGTGAAAATCTAGTGCAAATAAGAAGTGCACACACATATGCTTTTGTGTAGACATAAAAAAACAAACATGAACACACACAATTACTTTATTTTTGCCATTTATTTCCCACGTGCCTCAGAGGCTGCCTTTATTTATCTGGGATTAATATGAATCTTTTCCTAATATAGTTGTGTGAAAATGTGAATACATGATATTAGAATTTCTAATGTCAATTAAAATGTAATTTAGTAAATCGTCAAGATATTTTAGTTTACACTACACTAGATAGCTAAGTATTTTGAACTATGTTAAAAATTATTGCCATTATTAAAAAGTACCCTTATTGAGAATATGTTTCCTTTAAGTAATCTATAATTTCTTCTGAGACAAATACTAATATTTGGAAGCAAGTGGAATTAGAATGAAATCAAAGTACTCAGAAGAAACTCTATTTGTGGGAAAATTAATGGCATAAAAGCATGGGGCATCTGTAAAAGAGGAATTTTTAAAGAGCTAATATAGAAATGTGACATTTATACATAGTGGTGTACTACTGTGTCAGCCATAAAGAACAAGAAACTAGAGACATTTATAGCTAAATGGATGCATATCGAGGCCATACTCTTAAGTGAAATAAATAGGACACACATGTGTAAATCCCAAATATTTTCTCTAGTGTGAG